CACTTCTTTCATAATGGCCGACTTGGCCAATAACCACCGTGTGTAACTCCTATCACCACGTCTTCTTCATAACTGCTTGTCACCAATTTTCTCAAATCGTGGGGCGTAATTGTGATGTGCTCAAACCGTCTTAGATCGTGACTTTGGATAACAACAAGCTTTAGTCATTGCTGGGACTCTGGGCGACTCAGCATTTTTAGGCGATAATTGATTTTCCACTTTGGGCAATTATAGGATGTTTCATTCGCTCAACATCTGGGCGTTTTGCAGGCTTGGGCAACATTGTACCTTTATTTTTTGGTTTTCATCATATTTAATGATATTTCTGGTTGGGCTTTTACCCTGATCGCTCTAGATGGGCTTCTTCTCTTGGGCCATTACCTCTCTTGGGCTATTTGAATTGAGCTGAGTATTTTGTGTGTCAACAACATCAAAAAAGCTTCAATTCATTCCATCAAGAAAACACAGTAAAGTCATTTTCAGTTGCTCATTACAACACCAGGCGAGGAACGTTCCTGCCTCAAAATCTGAAGTGGCTGCAGGCATTTACCGAACAGCAGCTTCACAATTTCTCCAGATTCCTTCCGGCAAGCACCAAACACAATAAGTCGCCTTCACTCAAATTCATCATCCATCTCAGTCAGTGGCTTTCCCTTCAGCTGCCAATTTCATATTTGGAAGAACATCATGAAGATGAAGAGAAAATGAGGGCTCGTCTGTAGATAGAGAAATTTCAATTTAGGGAAAAAAAACGTATCCAGCAAAGCAATGAAATGTCATGGGCTTTTTGGAATTTTTTGCACTAGGTTTCAATCTCAATTCCGTTATGTGCCACGTAGGATTCCCATCCGCCATGTAGGACATTCCGTTAGTTACATTTGACAGATTTAAGACGGGTGATGAACGGGTACTATATTAGATAGATGGGTGAGCAACGGGTAATATTTTATTGTTTAGTGAGCAAAGAGTACTCTATATGCAAGATGGGTGAGACTTCATTTTGATGAACGGGTAATATATTAGATAGATGGGTGAGTAACGGGTAATGTTTTATTGTTCAATGAGCAAGTAGTAATATATAGGAAAGATGGGTGAGCATTCATTAAATAATTACCTAAAAAACCCGACTTCAGAAAAGCGCGTTCTCTGTGCAGCCGTTTTTATCTCAATTCTTCTGCCCTTCTGATGAAATGAAATCTCTCTCTCACAGCCGCACGAACAATTCAATCTGAAGCCACTTTGAAGTTCAGGATGATCTGCAGATACAATTCTCCCTCAAAACCAATTCGAATAAACTAATCGACTAGTGAGTTTTTTCATTCTTTCTTTCTCTTTGGAGGACTTTAGGCTGCCATGCTTTCTGTAAATCTTTATTGTAAACTCTTCCCGTTCAAGAAACTTGCTACAGATTCAAATGCATCACTTCCTTTACTTCACAAAGATGGATTGATTTTTAATACTACTTTACCAGAATGCTATAAAAATCAACAATTTATCAATTTCTGTAGTCTCGTGGATGTGAGCTCTCCGGAGTTGGACTTAAGAACTGCAACTTCTGCACCCAAAGAGAAAAAAGTTTCAAAGAAAATAGCAAAAGAAAGTTCGTATACGATTTCTTATTTGATAAATTCATGTGGGCTATCTCCAGAGAAGGCTATTTCTGCTTCTGAGAAAGTGCATTTTGAAACCCCAGAGAAACCAAATTCAGTTATAGCCCTTTTAGAGAAACATGGGTTTAGTAAAACCCATATTGCTAACCTTGTTCGGAGAAGGCCTGTGCTTCTTTTATCCAATCCTGAGAAGACCCTTTTGCCCAAGCTCGAATTTTTCAAATCTATCGGGGTTTCACAGGCTCACCTTGGGGGCACAATATCAAGAGACCCTACTTTGTTGACTAGAAGTTTGGAGAATCAAATTATTCCTAACTATAATTACCTGAAGAGTGTGCTATTAACTGATGAAAAGGTGGCTGCTGCTGTCAAGCGGACATCATGGGTTTTTCTAGAGGATCCTGGGAAGAACCTTGCTCCAAATATTACGGTTTTGAAAGAACTTAATGTGCCACAGTCGTGTATCATATTATTATTGACACATTTTCCGGAGGCCATAATGCAAAGGCATGAAGAGTTCAGAGCCTCTGTTTCCGAGGTAGTGGAAATGGGATTCAATCCTTTGAGATCGACATTTGTATTGGCATTACATGCAATTTCTGGAAAAGGCAATAAAACAATATGGGCTCGGTGTTACGAGACTTACAGTAAATTGGGTTGGTCGAAGGATGATATATTCATGGCATTTAGGAAACACCCGAATTGCATGATCTTGTCCGAGAAGAAGATCACTAGGACAATGGACTTTCTGGTTAATAAGATGGGGTGGGAGTCCAAAATGATTGCATCTTGCCCTACAGTTCTTTTCTTCAATTTGGAGAATAGGATAATTCCTAGGTGCTCCACCGTTCAGGTTTTGTTCTCAAGGGAATTGATTAAGAAGAAAGATTTGAAATTGACTACTGTGCTATTGCCTACAGAGAAATATTTCTTGGAAAAGTTCGTGACCAAACATGAGAAGCAAGTACCTAAACTCTATGATTTCTATGAAGGGAAGATTGGCATTGAGGAATTGTGATTTATATGTGCTCAAAGTCCTAGTTCTCTTTTGCATTGCGTAGACAAGGCTTACAGTTTTGTCTTTAAATCCATTTGCTTTGTATTAAGAACATTTTTTAAACTAGAGAAGTTTCTTCCGAGGTTCTGATAAGTCCATCTTCTGCAGCCGATGATCTTAACTAAAATGTCTGATTAAGATCCAAGTTGAACGTCGAATTTCCATTTCACCTTTCATGATGTATTGTTTTGTAGATTTTGGGTTTTTTAAGAGAATATTGTTGTTTATGGAATAGTTAGGATGAACATGCATGCATACTTGGTTAATCTTGTGTACTTATTGTATTAGGAATCACCTGGTGTCTGTTTTGTAGTTGTCTTCATGCTATTGGGCAAACTTCTTATTTTCATTAATAAAAGATTAGCGTTTTACTTTACCCAATTCCCAATTATACTGTGAGGTCAAATCTGCCACTTGGTGAAGCTCCTTCCTCAAGATGTCATTTAATTTTAGTATATGATCACAAGGGCCGATTTGATAAACATGTAGCTGTTGAAGACTAAATATAAATAAATTCGTGTCTTGTGTCCAAAAGCTTAAGCTTCTAGTTCTAGATGAGATGATTCAAGAATACACTTGCAGAAACCTGCTTAATTCTCATTAAAGTTGGTCCATAGGATACTCGCGTTGTACCTCTGAAAGTCTGAACACTACCCAGAAAAATATGAATATCGAGTGTCATGAATAATTTCTGTGCCTATGAGAAATGTGTAAGCTTATATTCCTCCCGTGCATTGTGAGATTTCAAAACATAAGTTGTTGGAGGTCAAAATTCTACGTAGTGATAATATACATGATATTTAATAATATTTTGAGGTGTGTGATTTGACTGACTCGCGTGAGAGTTAGAAAGGACTTCAATAAGCATATTAAAACTGGTCTCATCTTTGTCTGGGATTTGAATTATGAGATCACTTGATAAATGTATTCTGTAATATTTTGTGTATAATGTGAGCTACATAACACAGTTAGTTATTTAGCAGAATCTTTGATTACTTGGTCAAAGAGTTTGAGAGACTCGTAGTCTTGAATGGATTATATCACATTTGTTTATAATCTTTATCAAACTATAATTGTGTTACTCAGTTATTGTTTAGATGTCTCCTGTGCTTAAAATTTCTAGAAAATTTCCGAACACTTCTTGCCATTGGTCACTAAGTGCTTTTCAGTTGTCTTCACGGTACATCTTTAAGTATTGTAGCCAGGCTTCAGTGTTTCATTATTTGAGGGAGGATGAGCTTTGATTTTACAATCCTCTTGTTTGCGCTTGGAAGGTGAGCACAAGCAACACTTAAGAGAATTTCATTTGATGCACTTTTCCTCACTATTTGCTTCGGGTGCAGTACATGTCTAATTAGAATGAGACCGTAGAGAACTGAAATACAAATTCGTATATTGATTTGCTTTTTCTGATTATGCATCTTCTCTGATGTTATATCTGGGATTCTTCTTGCACATGACATGTTCGGCCTGTTAGCATTTTCAGCAAGACGCTTGCATTACATTCTTGGCTAAGTACTCCCCAGGTAGTCTTTGGTCTGGGATGTTTCATTTGCTGTTTTCCTTTATCAACCATTTTAACTCCTATCTTTTGGAGGTCTTAATAAATTAGAATGGCCTGTATGGTAGCACCTATATTTTATATTTCAATATCTTGCATTATTCGGAGTCTGCCATTGTTCCCGATTTCTTGTTCCACCTTATGCAGCCTGCATATGAGTTCATATCATGTAATCATCAAGTTAAGCAAACTCTCTAACCTGTTGGGAAAATGCCATTTGTACGTTTTTTTTTACATTATGGTTGACATGACATGTGTTGGTAGGTGTTTCTTGGATGAAAAAATTGTCAAAAATTTAAATTGTCCAATGGTGTATTGTCACGTGACAAAATGTAAAAAATGATGTAAAGAATGATGTACATATAGCATGATTGAAATTGTTTGAAATTGTTGCCCTAAGGAATTTGATGACATGTTGCCTCTTTATTCCTTTCTGTATACAGGTACTGGAGGATGCATAAGGATTAATAACAGAAAATCCCTCTATAAACGTTTTCATTTGCGATATACTCCATACTCATTGAAAATCGCAGAAAACCCAATATTTGAAACATTTTGTGCGAAATATAATATTTTTTTGTGGGAAAAGACTCAAACTGTCCAATTTCATTAGTTTAACTGTTAAAAACTGTAAAAATTGTCAAAATTAAAGAGAATAATTGCAGGTGGATTGGGCAATAATGGGCAAGTTTGAAGGTGGAGTTGTCCAGCACCCTCGCCGTCGAGTTCGAATGAGTCAACTCGGAGAAGTTGTTCTAGTCGAATTTCGTCACCTCCGGCAATTCAATCTTCAACGAAGGCTTCCTCTTTGTCAATGTTTGTGCATTTGGTTTTTCTATAACTAGAGGATTTAATTGATGTTGCCCCAAATCTACATAGCCAGGTAGAGTTGTCAATTTCGCTCGTCCGCTCGACTCGAAAAAAGCCCGAGCCAATCTGGCTCGCAGCTCGGTGGAACCGAGGTTCGGTTGAGCCCCATTTTGGGGTGTTGGCCCGAGCCCGGGCCAAGCCACAATGGTCGGCTTGTGTCATGGGCTATTTTTCGGCCCGTGACGATCCGGAAAGAAAAAAGAAATTAAAAAATAAGAATAAATAAAACCACGTTGTTGCCTGCATTTAAAAAAAGAAAAATTAAAAAAAGGTTGCATGTGCCTGCTATCAAGCAGCGCACGCTGCCTTTGGGCAGCATATATAAAAAAACGGTGAATCTGTTTAGCTCGACAAGTTCTGTGCCTAAAGCTCGAGTCAAGCCTAGACCTAGGCGTTGAAAAGTTGTTAAAATCAAATTCATTCTGGTCAAGATCCATGAAATAATTAGAAACTGAAACTGAATAGTCAGATTGAAAGCTTGTAACTGATGAATTTATGCTCCTAGTTCTTTCAATATCAGAAGCAAATGAAAGCTCTCTTGTAGAAAACTTTCCGTGAAGATGCATTCTAATTTGTTCAATTGTTGAAACTTCTGCTAGATTTGTCATCTAGGCTCCGTTTGATTGGCGGAGTTTTCCAGGGAAGTAGGAAAATTTCACTTTTTTCACTGTTTGATATGCGAAATTTTCCACGAAAAATGTTTTCCTCCCTTTTTCTAAGTACAAGCCTTTGATGCACAAATGGTGGAAAAT